CTGCAGCACTGCTGGTCACAGCTGACCTCCAGCTGGAGCGCTCAAGGGCCAGGGCTTCCCAGTTCTCAGGGTTTATGCCAGAGTTTTTAAGGTTGGCTTTGAGCCCATCTTTAAATCTCTTTTCCTGTCTTCCAACATTCCCTTTTCCGTTCTTGAGTTTGGAATAGAGCAACTGCTTTGGGAGACAGTGGTCAGGCATCTGGACAATGTGGCCGGACCAGCGGAACTGATGGCGGAGGACCATTGCTTTAGTGCTGGTGGTCTTTGCTTCTTCCAGCACACTGACGTTTGTCCGCTTGTCTTCCCAAGAGATTTGCAGGATTTTCCGGAGGCATTGCTGATGGAATCGTTCCACTAAAGCTTATGCCAGAATATGTGTCCTCCTTAAAAAATACAAGACGAGGGTGCTTGGGTAAAACAAGATTCTCCAACTCTTCTTGGACTCCACTTCATCACCATCTTTTGCTACCACTGGTTCAGCTTGGTAGGAATGATGGGACCTGTAATCCCACAGCAGCAAGACTTGCCACCTCACAGAACAAGAGGCATGTTTTTGTCCACGAGGTGGAGCTAGTGACTTTCTACATCTACCTTAAGTCTGATAGGAAGAAGGCTGGAGATCAGATTTTTCTTTCAGAGGGTATGCAATCACCATCTCTAAGGAAGCGATGGTGATGAAAACTAACATTATATACCAGGGCAGAACCCATGAAACCTTCCCTAAATTGATGGATTGCAACTCCCAGCATTCCTCACCATTGTCTGGGGCTGGTAGGAGTGGAAGTCCAATAACACCTGGCAGGCCACTCCATCCTCAATCCTTCTATATCTGTCTATGAATCCATCCATCACATTTATTTATTACCTCTTATTCAAGCAGAGCTCACAAGGTGAAGGACAAAATGATTTAAAGCCCTTAAATAAATAACTTGGTTGTTGTTGTGTGCCTTCAAGTCTTTTCCAATCAATGAGGACTCTAAGACCTTATTCTTCACTGCCGTATAATCCAGATTATTAAAGCAGGTAATCACATTATCTGATTTGAACTGGATTATATGAGTCTACACTGCCATATAATCCAGTTCAAAACAGATAATCTGGATTTTATATGGCAGTATAGCTTCTCAAGTAGCTTCTGACACAATAATAATAATAATAATAATAATAATAATAATAATAATAGATCACATCCTCAGCTGCTGCAAGAAGATTGCGCAGACAGACTACAAGCAGTGGCATAAGACCATTGCTCAGATGATTCACTGGAACTTGTGCCACAAATACCATCTGCCTGCAAGAAAGAAGTGGTAGAATCACAAGCCTGAAAAAGTTACAGAAAATGAACATGTCAAGATACTCTGGGACTTCCGAATTCAGACAGACAGAGTTATGGAGCATAATACTCCTGACCTCACAATCGTGTTAAAAAACAAAGTATGGATAGTTGACGGTGCAATCTCAGGCAACAGCAGGATTGCAAAGAAACAACTGGAAAAGCTGACACGATATGAGGATTTAAAGATCGCACTGCAAAGACTCTGGCACAAACCAGTAAAGGTGGTCCCAGTGGTGATCGGCACACTGGGTGCAGTGCCTAAAGACCTTGGCCTGCACTTAAACACAATCGTCACTGACAAAGTACCATCTGCAGAAGGCCACCATACTGGGATCTGCATGCATTGTTCGCCGATACATCACACAGTCCTAGACACTTGGGAAGTGTCCGACGTGTGATCCAATTCAACAGCCAGCAGTGTGTGTACTGTGGACTCATCTTGTTGTGTTTCAAATAATAATAATAATAATAATAATAATAATAATAATAATAATAATTTTTAAGTTACTAACAACACCCAGGTCTGAAAGGGTTGTAGGGAGAAGATATCCTATCTATCCTATTATTATTATTATTATTATTATTATTATTAATAATAATAATAATAATAATAATAATTTAAGTTACTAACAACACCCAGGTCTGAAAGGGTTGTAGGGAGAAGATATCCTATCTATCCTATTATTATTATTATTATTATTATTATTATTATTATTAATAATAATAATAATAATAATAATAAAAACAGGAAGGCTGACAATTCCCTCTCTGCTGAGCAGCAGCAACAATAATGAAAAATGTTGGTGTATAAACTAGCTTATATTCAAAAGAGGATGGTCCCATTTCTACAAGCATGTATTTCAATCTGTTCTATAGTTTTTGCAGAGGTTAGAGATGTAGGACTCGAGTGAAAATGAGTAAACCACAACCACTTTTTAAAAAATCTGAGTCAATCTCTCCATGAATCCCTAGTTCCTCCAATGCAACTCTTTGAATTACATTCTGTTCTGCCCTGTCTTGCCATTGGGACCTTCAGACCTTTGTTTTCTGAGGAGACTTTGAGAACATCAAACTTATGGGAGCCAATGGGAGGCCAGGATGCCAGAATGCCCTTTCTCTGCCCTCGTCTGGAAGACTGGGCAACCGGCTGTTTCCAGCTTCATTGAACACCTGGAATCCCCATAAAAATTGTTTCCTCATTTTTCACCTTTTCAGTCTCCCATTCATCTCATTTAATGGATGTAGATTGCCCTGCGGGAGATGCCCAACTTCCCACGCCACCCTCCTCTCCTGGCTGGGGCACGGTGCCTTGTTAAGCACCTTCGTTGGCTCTATTTGTCAGATTATGGCAGGCAAGGAAGCAGAACCGTTTGGCAGAGAATAAAGAAGTAGGAGATGGTGCACCCAGGCATAGAGGGGGGCATTCGATAAGGGATTTTCATTGCAAGGAGTGGACAGGGTGAAAGCACCAGCTTCAGAAGTTTGGTATCTTGAAACAAAGCTAGCTCTGGGTTTGCAAGGAAAATACCTTCACTTATGCACCTTATGGTTTGGATTATTTGGCAGTCTAGAAGTGTCATAAAATATAATGTGTGGAAACTAAATGACATATGATTTGAATGAAATTGAATGAAAAGTGTATGGTTGGAGGTCTATATAGAGCAGTGGTTCTCAACCTTCCTAATGCTGCGACCCCTTAGTACAGGTCCTCACATTGTGGTGAACCCCAACCATAACGTTATTTTCGTTGCTACTTTTTAAATTCTGCTACTGTTATGAATGTTATAAATATCTAACATGCAGGATGTATTTTCATTCACTGGACCAAATTTGGCACAAATACCTAATACGCCCAAATTTGAATACTGTGGGATGGGGGTGATTTATTTTGTCATTTGGGAACGTTGGAGTTGCTGGGATTTATAGTTCACCTAAAATCAAAGAACCTTCTGAACTCCACCAATGATGGAATTGAATCAAACTTGGCACACAGAATTTGCATGGCCAAGAGAAATACTGGGGGGAGTCAGGTGGATACTGACCTTGAGTTTTTGGACTTGTAGTCCACCTAAATCCAGAGAACACTGTGGACTCCAAACAGTGATGGATCTGGATCAAACTTGGCTCAGATACTCAATATGCCCAAATGTGAACACTGGTAGAGTTTGGAGAAAATAGACCTTGCCATTTGGGAATTGTGGTTGTTGGGATTCATAGTTCACCCACAATGAAATAGCATTCTGAACCCCACCAATGATAGAATTGGACCAAACTTCCCACACAGAACACCCATGACAAAGAGAAAATACTATGTTTTTTGATGGTCTTTGGTGACCCCTTTGCGACCCCCACAGGGGTCCTGACCCCCAGGTTGAGAAACACTGATATAGAGGCTAGAGATGACATCCTAAGAAATGAGGCCTGGAAAACTACTGAACTGATGGACTGTAATTAAAAGTTGCAGAACTGTTGATGATCAGAGACACATTATTAACTGTTGAACTTTTGATGGAAAACAACATGTTTACATTACAAAGCCAGGTCTTTAGCTTCTTCCTGAAAACAAGGAAGGAGGGGGCCTGTCTGATGTCACTGGGGAGAGAGTTCCATAGGCAAAGGGCCACCACTGAGAAGGCCCTGTCTCTTGTTTGCACCAGTCGCACTTGTGAGGGGGTGGGGGGTGGAATGAGAGCAGGATCTCCCCAGATGATCTTAAGGTTGTAGTTGGCTCATAAAGACCAATGTTCGGACTGGTAAGTTGGACCAGAACCATTTAGGGCTTTATAGGTCAAAGCCCGCACTTTCAATTGAACTCGGTAGCAAACTGGAAGCCGGTGGAGCTGATGTAACGGCAGGTTGTACGCAGGGGCGGCTCGTCCATTATGCGAAGTAAGCGGTTGCAGAACACTTTGTTTTTGCCAGGGGCGCAGAGGCGCCTCTGTAGATACCC